TCTGTGTCTGTTTATATCTCTGTCTATATCTGTCTATGTCTCTATATCTGTCTATATCTCTGTCTATATCTCTCTGTCTGTCTCTGTCTCTCTCACAGGTACACATAAGTACAGTGGACCCCTGGTTATTGGCCGGTTCTGTTATCCGCCAACTCGGTGATTGGCCGGGTTTTCGGCACCTGGTTATCAGCCATTAATTCGGTGATCAGCCATTCGGCTGAGGCCATGTCAGTTTGGCTGTGTCTCTCGGTGGCTGAGGAAACTTCTGCTCATACATCCAAACATTTTGCTTATTTCCCATTGTAGTTTGTGTTGTTTATGCAGTGCAACTGTGAAATAAGTAACCATGGCTCCAAAGAAAGTTCCTGTGGTAAAGAAAGTGAGAAACACCATGGAATTTAAGAGTGAAGTGACAGAAAAATTTGAGAGTGGTATGAGGGTGGTGGAATTTGCCAGGATGTACAGCAAGAATAAATCAACAGTTACATCCATCCTGGTAAAGAAAGAACAAATCAAAGATACTAATGTTGCAAAAGGAGTAACTTTTCTAACTAAACAAAGGCCAACAATAATGGAAGAAATGGAAAAGATATTATTATTGTGGATTAAGGAAAAAGAATTAGTGGGAGACAGTGTTGTGGAGTTGATTATTTGTGAGAAAGCAAGGCAGTTGCATGAGGATCTTGCAAAGAAAATGCCTGGAACAAGTGCTGCAGTTTGTGAATGTAGGGCCAGCAAAGGGTGGTTTGATAGATTTAAAAAGCATAGTGGCATACACAGTGTTGTAAGGCATGGTGAGGCTGCAAGTTCTGACAAATGTGCGGCTGAAAAATTCTTGCAGGAATTCCAGGGGTAGATAGAGGCATGAAGGATTCAAACTCCAACAAACAAGTGTTCAGTTGTGATGAAACAGGCCTGTTTTGGAAGAAAATTCCAAACAGGACCTACATTACTCAGGAGGAAAAGGCACTGCCAGGACACAAGCCTATGAAAGACAGGCTTACTCTTTTGTTGTGTGTAATGCTAGTGGGGATTTCAAAGTGAAGCCTTTACTTGTGTATCACTCAGAAAATCCCAGAGTGTTTAAGAAAGACAATGTCATGAAGAATAGATTGTGTGTGATGTGGAAAGCTAATCATAAGGCATGGGTCACAAGGCAAATTTTCAAAGAGTGGGTTAATAATGTGTTTGGCCCAAGTGTGAAAAAATACCTCCTGGAAAAGAAATTGCCACTCAAGTGCCTCCTGTTACTGGACAATGCTCCTGCACATCCTCCAGACTTGGAAAACCAAGTGTTTCAGGACTTCAGTTTTATAAAAGTGAATTTCTGCCTCCCAACACCACTCGTCTCCTCTAGCCCATGGACCAGCAGGTCATTTCTAACTTCTAAAAACTCTACACAAAAGCAGTGTTTCAAAAGTGCTTTGAAGTGACCTCAGACACTGAGTTGACCTTAGGAGAGTTCTGGAGGAATCGCTTCACTATCCTCCATTGCATAAGCCTTGTAGGTAAGGCTTGGGAGAGAGTGACTTCCAGGATTTGGAACTCTGCTTGGAGAAAACTGTGGCCAGATTGTGTCTAACAGAGGGATTTTGAAGAGTTTGAGGCTGACCCTGACCTTGCTGACCCTGTGGACTCTATTGTGGCACTGGGGAAGTCCCTGGGGTTGGAAGTGAGTGGCGAGGATGTGGAAAAGTTGGTGGAGGACCACAGGGAAGAGCTAACCACTGAAGAGCTGCAAGAGCTTCAACTTGAACAGCAACAGACTGCAGCTGAGGAACTTGCTTCAGAGGAGGAGGAGGAAGAGGGAGTGAAGGAGGTGCCTTCTTCATTGATTAAGAACATTTGTGCAAAGTGGAATGATGTGCAAAGTTTTGTTGAGAAGTACCACCCTGACAAAGCTGAAACAAGCCATATATGCAACATGTTTAGTGACAAAACCCTGCTAGAAACAGAGCATTCTGGACAGTTATTTTGTGAGACAGGGGTCCAGTGACTCTCAAGCTGGTCCTAGTGGCATTAAAAGACAAAGAAAAGAAATAACCCCAGAGAAGACTTTGCTACCTAAAATCTTTATGGAGGGGGATTACCCTTCCAAACACTAACTTCTCCCTCTTTCCTCCTCCCTGTCTTCCAGAAGCCAGCATTAGCCTTCAATAAAGGTATGTAATATATATATATAATTGTTAAAAAATTTTTTTTCTTTTTGTGAATATTTTTGTCTGGAATGGATTAATTGTATTTACATTAATTCCTATGGGAAATATTATTTCGGTTTTCGACCACTTCGGTTTTCGGCCGACCTCGAACGAATTACGGCCGATAACCGAGGGTCCACTGTACAGTTATTATAGTGTAGATTACCTAGGATAACCCAAAAATTCCAGGCAGTGCTATACAGTGCTTGTAGATATAAGGCATAATAAGCTGATCAGAAATCAGATATGACTACTCTGCATTGTGTGTAATACCTGTTGTTTTTTGAGCCACTCTCTGAGATAGAGAGACAAGCAGATGGAAAGACAGACACAAACAGGCAGACAGAAAGACAAATAAGCAGAGTTAGACAGATAGATAGATAGACAGACAGACATACATGTTTGTGTGTAACAGTGAAAACCAATAAAGCCAGGGTTCCCTGGAGCAGTGCAAGTTCAAGTGTCACTCCACTGCTGCAGTGTTAGCAGTTTAGTGACATTCGTCTGAACACCATGCTTCAAGGAGTTTCATATATACTCCAGCATGTCTAAAACATTGCTGAGACCTATAAATACTTTGTATATGTTTCTAGACAATAGTAAATGACCAAGGCAGGTGAAAATGTTCACCTGTCTGTGTGTTTGTGACAATTTGAGTACTATTCAGTACCTAATATTAGTGTCAGAACAAAGATTGGGTATGAAATCACAAGAACTACTATAAATTGTAATTATCAGAACATAAAAATTATATAAATTAAAATAAAAACGAGGAAAAAAAGGTATACAGTGGACTCCCGCATAACGATTTTAATCCGTGCAAGAGGGCTCATTGTTATGCGAAATAATCGGTATGCGAATGAATTTTCCCCATAAGAAATAATGGAAATCAAATTAATCCGTGCAAGACACCCAAAAGTATGAAAAAAAAATTTTTACCACATGAAATATACATTTTCCTACACACATAGAGAAGGATACATGCACAATAGTAGAGTAGTACATGCACAGTATATATTGTGCATGTACTAGTCTACTAAATGAAGAATAAATGACACTTACCTTTATTGAAGATGCAGCAATGACTGATGAGACATTGTGTCCTGGGAGTGCCTTTTCCTCCTGAGTACTGTAGGTCCTGTTTGGCATTTTCTTCCAGAACATGCCTTATCACACTGTGTATGCCACTACGATTCTTAAATCTCTCAAACCAACCTTTGCTGGCTTTAAATTCACCAATATGAGCACTAGTTCCAGGCATTTTTCCCTGTTCACCTGGGTGTTAGTCGACTGGTGTTGGTTGCATCCTGGGAGACAAGATTAAGGACCCCAATGGAAATAAGTTAGACAGTCTTCGATGACACTGACTTTTTTGGGTTATCCTGGGTGGCAAATCCTCTGGGGTTAATTGTTTCTTGGTATTCTCAATAAGCCACACCAACAACGGTGCTACAGCAGCAGCAGCAGCTGACGGTGGTACAGCAGCAACAGACGATGCTACAGCAGCAGCAGACGATGCTACAGCAGCAACAGACGATGTTACAGCAGCAGCAGACGATGCTACAGCAGCAGCAGACGATGCTACAGCAGCAGCAGACGATGCTACAGCAGCAGCAGACATGCTACAGCAGCAACAGACGATGTACAGCAGCAGCAGACGATGCTACAGCAGCAGCAGCAGCAGACGATGCTACAGCAGCAGCAGCAGCAGACGATGCTACAGCAGCAGCAGACGATGCTACAGCAGCAACAGACGATGTTACAGCAGCAGCAGACGATGCTACAGCAGCAGCAGCAGCAGACGATGCTACAGCAGCAGCAGACGATGCTACAGCAGCAGACGAGCTCGCAGCAGCAGACAGCTGACACAGCAGCAGCAGCAGCAGCTGTACCACCAATAGTAGCGATGGTTGATTGGGGTTTATTATACAACCTGGCCAGCTCGGAGACACGCACTCCACTTTCATACTTATCAATGATCTTTTTCTTCATCTCTATTGTAATTATCACCCTTATTGCTGTAGGGTTGGCACTAGAAGCTTTCTTGGGGCCCATGGTCACTTATTTTCCAGAAAAAGCACCGAAAACACTGTAATAATACGAAATATTCCGATTGTATGCTTGGATGTTACCGCGGAGGCTGGCTGGTAAACAATGCCACTGGCGGCACATGTGAGGCTGGCTGAGGGCGCACATTGGACGCGTCTCGGACGAAAATCGGTGAGTGGGTTTTTAAGCGGTATGCGAGACAAAATTTTTGCGATTAAAGCAAGCGGTATGCGGATTAATCATTATGTGATGCCAACGGTATGCGGGGGTCCACTGTATTGGGAACACTTCTGCAAGTGGCAGGACTCGATGTTGCTGTCAGGTGAGCATCCAGTCCCAGCTTCGTGAGCTTATACCTCGGCAAGTGTTGATTCTAAAAAAAAATTTATCTTATAACGTGTAGAATAATGCCCTCTTCATTTAAAAATAAAAGTTTTTTTTTTTTTTTTTTTTTTCAAAATATTCGGAGCGTTGGATGAGTGAACGTAGATCTATGTTTGGACAGTTAAGGGTTAAGTAATGATTTGGGATTCCTTGTATTTCTGTTATAATACACATTTATATGAACCTATTTGTTAAAGTTGACAGGCAATGTAATTGCTGTCTCTATATTGTTTTATTTCTTTTGCCATTCCCACCCTTGTTATACTGGTGAGAGGCCGACATTTGAGGGTTATGATTTTATATTACAAATTTAAATGTTAGCAAGATTAATCTTGTATGATAGATTAGCAAAAAATTTATTTTTTGCAGGTGTTAGTGGAGACATATGAGGATGGGCAGCCAATGATTGACATTATACGGTCTACTGAAACAGAAACTTCAGAAGAGCTGAAAAAACGATTGGCTGAGATTGGTGTCGATGCACTGTTGAAAATGGTTAGTACCTTGTGTTTAAGTAGACACAACCACTTAGTACATAAATCAGCAAAATGTAAGTGTAGTATATTAAGTTCTTCCCATTACTAAAATACACCTACCATCCGACTTATGACCTGCTCAACATACGTCCACTCGACTTACGACCGTGCATCTGGCAGCTGGGCTGGGCCGGCTGATGCACACCACTGTACAATATTTGGCAATACTCGCGGGGGCAATGTGTCATGCAGGCAGCATCAGTTTGAGTAACCCTGCCCTATCAGCAGCATCATACTGTATTAACTGTACTAACTGGGCAGTAAATTTCACCATGGCCCCTAAGATGAAGTCTGAATCTTACTCTCGAACTCTCTATTTGTTTTCACTGTTGCACATAAACCTGTCTGTATCTGTCTGCCTGTATATCTGTCTGTATCTCTGTGTGTCTGTCTACTAGTGTCTGTCTGTCTTTCTGTCTACCTATGTGTCTGTCTTTCTGTCTACTTGTGTGTCTGTCTTTGTGTCTACCTGTGTGTCTGTCTTTCTATCTACCTGTGTGTCTGTCTTTCTGTCTACCTGTGTGTCTTTCTGTCTACCTGTTTCTGTCTTTATGTCTACCTGTGTCTGTCTGTGTCTACCTGTGTGTCTGTCTTTCTGTGTGTCTGTCTTTGCTTGTCTGTCTCAGAGCCACTCATTAAGAGTGTACTTGGTCTTGAAGATGCCATATTAATAATGATAATAACAATAATAATCACTGAGGCGCATTAAATGTGTATAAAACGTTAATATAGACATTTTGCTTAATCCATCTATGATTTTTTTTTTCAAAATTATATAATAAACATGCTACATAACATGTAAATTAACAAATATGAGATGTTTTTCTGGTCGGCTTGACAGTGAACAGGAACCGTTCCTGTCCGGGCTGGTAACAACAACAACGTTTGTTTACATAACTCGTGAACATTCTACATTCTCATTCTCTCTCTCATTTATTCATTTAATCTTGTTTACTCACCTCTCACTCTACATTAAAACTACAGATATTTTAAGGTAAGTAATGAGTGGACACTATTATTATATTATAGCTTAATAATAATAATAATAATATTAGTACATATGTATTATTGTAATAATAATGATTATTAATATTATTATTAATTTAGGGCACTGGAGGACAGATCCACTGTATAGCACTTTGTCTGGATTTTTTGGGTTATCCTAGGTAATTTATAATATGTATGATAACTTGACTTACGTGTACCAGTGAGAGAGAGAGAGAGAGAGAGAGATACAAAGAGAGCCACATTCGGTCGGCCGGCCAGCCAGCCAGCCAGCCAGCCAGCCAGCCAGATACGTATTACACATGTTCCAGAGTTGTTTCTCTTTACTTAGGGTATAGGTTATACAACATACCAGCAGGATGACACTACCAGTGGTATTCTCCCATTCCACTGTGTCGACAATACATAAAGATAATAGTAACATATGATATTGTATGCGATGTAAAATTTACAATACATATCACTAACATGTATACATTATATAAGTACATAAATAATTAAAATACAACAATAGAAGTAAATTATGGTAAAAAGAATGAAATAATGATTATACATTACATTACAGTATTATGTAGTTAGTTTATATAGGAAAGTTTTGACATTATGCCCTACCCAATATGTCAGCAATTTTCAAAGTTTCGACTTACGTCCATTTCGACTTACGACCGGTTGGTCGGAACCAAGCTTGGTCGTAAGTCGGATGGTAGGTGTATATGCATAAAGTATTATATAGTATACAGAGTACAGTATTGATTACAATACTCATTTCTTGAAATTTAAATGCACATGACATTATCTAATTTTTTTAAACATTTTATTTCCCTCCAAGGCAGGTGACTCAAATGAGAAAATAAGTTCACCCTCACTCATTTTCTAGTTGCTTTTATTGAAGTGCATGGATATTACAGTTCAAATGACCAGTAACCCTCCAAACTGCAACATTCTTTCTCATCTGTCGGAGTGCAGGAACAACATTTTTCCACCCCCAGAACTCTAGCCTGGCTAACTGGTTTCCCCTGAATCTCTTCGTAAATGTGACTTTGTTTACACAAACACGATGTTAATTCCAAAAACTTTTGAATATGCTGGGAGCCTAAGCCATAAAACAGGCTGTTCGTGTACTAAATAATTAGTTTGGCTTCTTGCATTATTTTTCCAGTATTTCATCATTATATTATTAATATTATCTAACCACCCAGGGAGGTACTACCGTCCTGTCAAGTGAGTGTAAAACGAGAGCCTGTAATTGTTTTACATGATGGTAGGATTGCTGGTGTCTTTTTGTCTGTCTCATAAATATGCAAGATTACAGGTACGTCTTGCTACTTCTACTTACACTTAGGTCACACTACACATACATGTACACGTTTATTTATACACACTCATCTGAGTTTTCTTTGATTTTATCTTAATAGTTCTTGTTCTTATTACTTTTCCTTTTATATCCATGGGGAAGTGGAATAAGAATCTTTCCTCCATAAGTCATGCGTGTTATAAAAGTCAACTAAAATGCTGGGAACAGTGGGCTAGTAACCCCTTTTTCTGTACAGATTACTAAAAAGAAGAAGACAATTGTTAAAGTGAGGTATCTGAATGTGCGTAGATGTTGTGCGAATGATAGGAAAGAGATGATTGTGGATGCTATGAATGAGGAGAAGCTGGATGTCCTGGCTTTAAGTGAAACAAAGCTGAAAGGGGTGGGATAGTTTCAGTGGAGAGAAGTAAATGAGATTAGGTCAGGGGCTTCAAATAGGGTTAGAACTAAAGAAGGAGTAGCAATAATGTTGAAGGATAAGCTATGGCAGGAAAAGAGGAAATATAAATGTATTAATTCAAGGATTATGTGGAGTAAAATAAAGGTTGGATGTGAAAAGTGGGTTATAGTAAGTGTATATGCACCTGGAGAAGAGAGAAGTGTAGAGGAGAAAGAGAGGTTTTGAGAATTGTTGAGTGAGTGTGTGGAGAGTTTTGAACCAAGTGTGAGAGTACTTGTGGTTGGGGATTTCAATGCTAAAGTGGGTAAAAATGTTGTGGAAGGAGTAGTAGGTAAATTTGGGATGCCAGAGGTAAATGAAAATGGGGAGCCTTTAATTGAGCTATGTGTAGAAAGAGGTTTGGTAATAAGTAATACATATTTTATGAAGAAGAGGATAAATAAATATACAGGGTATAATATAGCACATAATGTTGGTGGATAAAAGATTGATGGGCAGGCTTCAGGATGCACATGTTTGTAGAAGGGCAACTGATATATCAGATCATTATTTAGTTGTAGCTACAGTTAGAGTAAGAGGTAGATGAGACAAAAGGAAAATGGCAACAACAAGTAAGAGAGAGGTGAAAGTATATAAACTAAGGGAGGAGGAAGTTCGGGTGAGATATAAGCACCTATTGGCAGAAAGGTGGGCTAGTGCAAGTATAAGTAGTGGGGGTTTGAAGAGGGTTGTAATAGTTTTAAAAATGCAATATTGAATGTTTTTTGGCTATAGGAGGGTGGGTACAGGAGGAAAGAGGAGTGATTGGTTGAATGATGAAATAAAGGGTGTAATAAAAGAGAAAAAGGTAGCTTATGAGAGGTTTTTACAAAGAAGTGTTATAAAAAGAGCAGAGTATATGGAGATTAAAAGAAAGGTGAAGAGAGTGGTGAGTGTAAAAGGAGAGCAGATGATAGAGTGGGAGAGGCACTGTCAAGAAATTTTGATGAAAATAAGAAAAACTTTTGGAGTGAGATAAACAAGTTAAAAAAGCCTAGGGAACGAATGGATTTGTCAGTTAAAAGCAAAGCAGGGAAGTTAGTAGTTGGGGAGATGGAGGTATTGGGTAGATGGTGGGAATATTTTGAGGAACTTTTAAATGTCAACGAAGAAAGGGAGGTGGAAATTTCATGCACTGGCTAGGGAGGTATACCATCTTCTAGGAGTGAAGGAGAGCAGGATGTGAGTGTGGGGGAGGTGCATGAGGCATTACGTAGAATGAAAGGGGGTAAAGCAGCTGGAACTGATGGGATCATGACAGAAATGTTAAAAGCAGGGGGGGGGATATAGTGTTGGGACAAAAGAGATTGTAAAAACAATAGAGAAATAAGTTTACTGAGTATACCAGGAAAAGTGTACGGTAGGGTTATTATTGAAAGAATTAGAGGCAAGACAGAATGTAGGATTGCGGATAAGCAGGGAGGTTTTAGAGTGGATAGGGGATGTGTAGATCAAGTGTTTACCTTGAAGCATATATGTGAACAGTATTTAGATAAAGGTAGGGAAGTTTTAATTGCATTTATGGATTTAGAAAAGGCATATGATAGAGTGGATAGGGGAGCAATGTGGCAGATGTTGCAAGTATATGGAATAGGTAGTAAGTTACTAATTGCTGTAAAGAGTTTATGAGGATAGTGAGGCTCAGGTTAGGGTGTGTAGAAGAGAGGGAGACTACTGCCCGGTAAAAGCAGGTCTTAGACAGGGATGTGTAATGTCACTATGGCTGTTTAATATATTTATAGATGGGGTTGTGAAAGAAGTAAATGCTAGGGTGTTGGGGAGAGGGGTGGGATTAAATTATGGGGCATCAAATACGAAATGGGAATTGACAGTTACTTTTTGCTGATGATACTGTACTTATTGGAGATTCTAAAGAAAAGTTGCAAAGGTTAGTGGACGAGTTTGGGAGTGTGTGTAAAGGTAGAAAGTTGAAAGTAAACATAGAAAAGAGTAAGGTGATGAGGGTATCAAATGATTTAGATAAAGAAAAACTGAATATCAAATTGGGGAGGAGAAGTATGGAAGAAGTGAATGTTTTCAGATACTTGGGAGTTGACATGTCAGCAGATGGATTTATGAAGGATGAGGTTAATCATAGAATTGATGAGGGAAAAAAAGTGAGTGGTGCGTTGAGGTATATGTGGAGAAAAAAAAAACGTTATCTATGGAGGCAAAGAAGGGAATGTATGAGGGTATAGTAGTACCAACACTCTTATATGGGTGTGAAGCTTGGGTTGTGAATGCAGCAGTGAAGAGGTGTTTGGAGGCATTGGAGATGTCCTGTCTAAGGGCAGTGTGTGGTGTAAATATTATGCAGAAAATTCGGAGTGTGGAAATTAGGAGGAGGTGTGGAGTTAATAAAAGTATTAGTCAGAGGGCTGAAGAGGGGTTGTTGAGATGGTTTGGTCATTTAGAGAGAATGGATCAAAGTAGAATGACATGGAAAGCGTTTAAATCTGTAGGGGAAGGAAGGCGGGGTAGGGGTTGTCCTCAAAAAGGTTGGAAGGAAGGGGTAAGGGAGGTTTTGTGAGCAAGGGGCTTGGACTTCCAGCAAGCGTGCGTGAGCGTGTTCAATAAGAGTGAATGGACACGAATGGTATTTGGGACCTGACGATCTGTTGAAGTGTGAGCAGGGTAATACAGTGGACCCCCGCTTAACGATCACCTCCAAATGCGACCAATTATGTAAGTGTATTTATGTAAGTGCGTTTGTACGTGTATGTTTGGGGGTCTGAAATGGACTAATCTACTTCACAATATTCCTTATGGGAAAAAATTCGGTCAGTACTGGCACCTGAACATACTACTGGAATGAAAAAAGTTCGTTAACCGGGGGTCCACTGTATTTAGTGAAGGAATTCACGGAAACCAGTTATTTTTATATAGCCGGACTTGAGCCCTGGAAATGGGAAAATAATGCCTGCACTCTAAAAGAGGAGTTCAGGATATTAGCAGTTTGGAGGGATATGTTGTGTATCTTTAAACGTATATGCTTCTAAACTGTTGTGTTCTGAGCACCTCTACAAAAACAGTGATTATGTGTGAGTGAGGTGAAAGTGTTGAATGATGATGAAAGTATTTTCTTTTTGGGGATTTTCTTTCTTTTTGGGTCACCCTGCCTCGGTGGGAGACGGCGTCTTGTTGAAAAAAAAAAACTTTTGACTGAAACGGACTAATTGGGTTTCCATTATTTCTTATTGGGAAAATAGATTTGCCTGTGAATTTCGCCATTCGGCAGACTCTCTGGAACAGATTAATCATGAAACTTGGGGTCCACTGTAGTTTTATTTAATTTCATGTGGTTTTCTTATTACTGTAATATTTCCTTTCTAATTTATGACTCTTGGCCTGAGACCAGGCCATAGGGGCAGTGATTCTCAAAACATTACCAAGTACATCAAATGCTGTATATGCTTTAGTCTTGAGTCTCCTGGGTATAAAATATTGTACTGTGCTGTATATAGGATGATGTCTTGGATCGTTTCCTTGGTTTTGCAAATACAGTGGACCCCCGGTTAACGATTTTAATCCGTGCAAGAGGGCTCATCGTTATGCGAAATAATCGTTATGCGAATGAATTTTCCCCATAAGAAATAATGGAAATAAAATTAATCCGTGCAAGACGCCCAAAAGTATGAAAAAAATTTTTTTTTACCACATGAAATGTTAATTTTAATACACACAAACTGAAAAAGGCATGCACAATTACATGACACTTACTTTTATTGAAGATCTGGTGATGACTGATGGGATGGGAGGAGGGGAGAGCATTATCTTCTTACTGTTTAGAAGGGGAATCCCCTTCCATTACGACTTGAGGTAGCAAGTCCTTTTCCGGGTTACTTCCCTTCTTCTTTTAATGCCACTAGGACCAGCTTGAGAGTCACTGGACCTCTGTCGCACAACAAATCTGTCCATAGAGCTCTGTACCTCCCGTTCCTTTACGATTTGTCTAAAATGGGCCACAACATTGTCATTGAAATAGTCACCAGCACGGCTTGCAACAGCTGTGTCAGGGTGATTTTCATCTATAAAGGTTTGCAGTTCAACCCACTGTGCACACATTTCCTTAATCTTTGAAGTAGGCACAATGGATTCCACAACTGGCATAGGCTTCTCAGGGTTAGCCCCAAACCCTTCAAAATCTTTCTTAATTTCCATACTAATTCTCACCCTTTTTACCACAGGGTTGGCACTAGAAGCTTTCTTGGGGCCCATGGTCACTTATTTTCCAGAAACAGCACCGAAAACACTGTAATAATACGAAATATTCCGAGTGTATGCTTGGATGTTACCGCGGAGGCTGGCTGGTAAACAATAGGACGGCCGGCACATGTGAGGCAGGCTGAGGGCACATTGGACGCGTCTCGGACGAAAATCGGTAAGCGGGTTTTTAATCGGTATGCGCGGCAAAAATTTTGCGATAAAAGTAATCGGTATGCGGAAAAATCGCTATGTGATGCCATCGTTATGCGGGGGTCCACTGTACAGTAATGAGGACCTCCAAATTCTGTTACATAATTGTATATTATGCTGTACTAAATATTCACTATTAACCCACAGCATGTTCTTTTTGGTCTATGGCTGATAATGGTCCAGGGCTGTCTGAAGCACCACCTGAAGTTTCTTCCCCAAATTGTGGGTTAATGTGGAATTGTTCCATCAGTGGTATTGTGAATTTTATTCTTCTGTGTTAGTAATTAAGTTTTTGAAAACAGCTGTCGTTTGAGACTTATAATTATTGCAGAGTATTGTATAAGCATTTTTTCCACAGGTATTTGTAGACAACCTAGTCCATGGAGATTTGCATCCAGGAAATATGCTAGTGCAGAATAACAATTTGGGCCAAGATGGTGACACCTGTAGCACCAGGGACAACTTACGCATCATGATGGTTGATGTCGGGTGTGACACTTTTGTCATGGATGTTCAGCCAGATCCTAATCCTCTGCGTATCTGCCTTTTGGACTGTGGTATTGTGTCAAAACTCAGTGAACAAAATCTAGCCAACATAAAGGCTGTATTTAAGCAAGTTGTGCTTGGAGATGTAAGAATTTTTGGTCTCATAAATAAAATAATATTGGAAGAATTGGCTGATAATAATTAGTCATTGTAGATATAATTGTAAATGTTATACTTTATAGCGTGATATACAATAAACTTTATAGTGCATGAGTTACATTCCTGAAAATTGGTGAGTAATTTTAAATCATGTGCAATTCATAAACTAGGATAAAAATAGGGCTATTTGTTCCAGAGACCTCCAAATTTGCCATATGATTCTTTTTTTTTTTTACTGTTGCACTTGGTAAAAATTACTATATGAGTTACTTTACATCATGGTAGCATTTTTGTGGAGAGGGTTGATGTGGTTGTACTGTGAATGTAGAGTTGTCAGTGGTTGATGGTTGTGCTGGAGTGCTTAAGTATTTTCTAACCTGTTTCTGTTATATTGTAGTGTAAGTCATGTTTATCACATGTGTTGACCATTAAAATTTTACACCGAGTAACATTCAGTGTGTCTGACAAGTTTATTCAGCTGACTGATCATGGGACTACAAAACCTCAGTACACAGGTGTTATGTTGTTTACCCTTTTTACTTTGATGGTATGGTTCTCACTACATGTTCCTAGTGTGGGGTAGCTTAAATAAGGCCTTATAAAGTCTAGGGTAATACATTCATGATTGATCATCCTCATTCTCTGAAATCTTTTTACTAACTCTCTCAGCAGGTTATTTAAACTACAATTACAAAAATAGGGATATATTCTAGACAGATTTTTTTTTCAACAAACCGGTCGTATCCCACCAAGGTAGGGTGGCCCAAAAAGAAAAACAAAAGTTTCTCTTTTTAAATTTAGTAATTTACACAGGAGAAGGGGTTATAGCCCCTTGCTCCCGGCATTTTAGTCCCCTCTTACAACACGCATGGCTTACGGAGGAAGAATTCTGTTCCACTTCCCCATGGAGATAAGAGGAAATAAACAAGAACAAGAACTAGAAAGAAAATAGAAGAAAACCCAGAGGGGTGTGTATATATATGCTTGTACATGTATGTGTAGTGTGACCTGAGTGCAAGTAAAAGTAGCAAGACGTACCTGAAATCTTGCATGTTTATGAGTCAGAAAAAAGACACCAGTAATTCTACTATCATGTAAAACAATTACAGGTTTCCGTTTTACACTCACTTGGCAGGACAGTAGTACCTCCCTGGGTGGTTGCTGTCTACCAACAATTCTAGACAGATGTATACAGAATATACAAGTTTAGCATTCTCCTATTCATAACATAAACATGCACACTCTTAGCTGCTCTGCTAGGACAGCCACATGGTCCATCTGAAACAATTAGCCCTCCTTTCTCTTGATGACTTTAACCCAGTGTTCTGACTCACTGTAGTCATCCTGGGTATAATGGTTGCATCATATTCAAAACAAATCTTACCTCTGGGGGCACTCACGTCCTGCCCAGAAACAAGAAGAAAGAGATGGAGATCCTCCTCAGCTTGGAGCCACAAAAAGAGTGAGACAGAGAGAGAGAGACCCAGCTAGGCTCCTCCCATCCACCCACCAAAACAAACAAAAGACTGTCAACAAGCCCATTTCTTTAGCTACTATAATTTTGTTTTTCCCATTATACACCTTATTTTAAAAAAAGAAATACAAAACTTATAAACTACTTATTTTAATTGTGTGTGCATCTATAGTACACCCTAATCATATTGATAAAACAAGGCTTGATTCAACTGACTTTTTCAGACATAAGAGTGATCTGCTCTTATGACAGAATTAAAGCAGTTGTGCCCCATCGATTCAGTATAATTAGGTATTCCAGAGTAACTGTTACTTAGATACATAAATACATGTTGGGTCCTATAGCCCCATAATATCCCCACCTCCAGATGAAGTCTCATAAAAGCTGTGTCCCTCAGGATACAGCTAGTAAAAAAAAAATTTATCCTGAAGATGGTTAGCAAGACTAATAGAAATTTTAACATATTACCCAGCACCATAAATACTTTTCACTTTACTGTTATTTACAACAAGGTGAAGATACTACATGGCAATCTACAAATATTCGAGGCTCTACTGAACCTTCCCAGATTATACAGGCAATTCCTTCCCATACCATACAAAAACCCTGAAAGGAACAATACTGGAACAGATTGCAGAGTTTTTTAAAAAATCATTTTAAACATACCCACATACTCATCCTCAAAGGTTTAGCTATTAACAACTTTACAACTTTAGTGGCTTCTAAACATAACATGTATTACAATGCAAGAACTGCACACAATGCCCACTGTGTAAGCCAACACCGACAGTCTTGTGCCTCCACTGCGGTGATCCAGCAAGCAACTGGTACTCAAGAATGGCATCTTTCTGATCAGGAGATGAGAGTAGAACCAAACCCAGAGCGGTCAGGTATACCCCAGGCAGAAAATTTCACAAACATGTCAAGGCATCTCTTACGTGGTGGCTGTTCCAAACAGTGAGGTTTATCAGTCAACACTCATGATCCTTAACATGGTCATGCACTTAAGCCCATCTTCCGAGGTCCCACTCACATAGATCCTCTAACCCTATAAAGAGGAAGTTGACACAGAACACGGAGGGGTCCAAGGGACCACAAATCCATTGGGCCATTTTGTACACAGAGCACACCAAGACACAAATATATCACATACCTTCCTGAACTTCTCATGTCATCGAAGGTTGTCAACCTCTGCCTCAACTCACAAATACATATACGCTGACTCTCATCACACTTTTGGCTCCGATTCATCTCCTTCACAGTCGGCTGGTAGGGAGCAATCAGACTCACCGAGAGTTCACCTCTGCAGAAGAACAAGGCAGCACAAGACAAACACTATGTACAGAGCATGCACCATGCTTCTGCATGAAACATCTAGAGAGAGCATCAGCTACCACATTCTTTGAGCCTTTTATATATTTGACTTCCAAATTAAAGGGCTGTAGGAACAAAGCCAATCTTAAGAGTCTGATTTTGGTCACCATAAACAGGAACAGGATGAAGAGATCCTGAGACAATATAAAATGCAGAATAGCCAACCCCAAAATGAAAATTTTCTTTCCTGTGACAAAATGTTGACACTCAAACTTAGAAAGTTCTTCATAGATAGTAACAATTCTGCAACCTCTCGCAGTACAAAAACAAACACCAAGGACATCCCTTTGCACCCGGGCTGTGTACATCAAGTTTACAAAAATACCTTCACTTTCCATCTCACACCTAAATTTTATGTACACAATGAACCCAGTTGCCATTACACACATGGAAATGGTACTGGCACACATGCCATGGAAATCACATCTTCCTGTCCCATGTTTTAGTTTATTTAAAATTTTTGCATCTCTTAGTGCATCAGTATCAATCTTTTTAAACCTGTAAACCTAATTGTTCAATGTACCTTGTGGCAGTCAGTACATATGCTCAGGGTGCCATCTAATTTGGGAACCATGAAGCATGGGGAAGCCCACTGACTCACTAAGCACTACAAACTGGTGTTGGAAGAATTTCACTTCTTCCTCCATATCCCATTTTTCATACATATTTTTCCCACACAAGAATTGTTGAATTGGCTCAGCTTCCTTAACAATTACCTCATGGAGTTTCAACTTTTCCCCTTTACTGACATCCCAAACTTTACAAAGTTCCACAGTGGCTGAGCCAACTCTCCAACATTTTTCTCAGTAAGACCAAACATATGTTTCCCAAAATCTTTTACAAATATGGAATTTCTTAAATACACTTTTGCCATTACAAACAGATTACTATTTTGCACTCATTTACCTTTCATTAAAACAATGGCCACTCTAGATTTCTAACATAACTTTAAACCCTTTAACAGGTTACTGTGTACATTACACTTATTCTTTTTCTGCTCAGGTGTGTGGGTTTTATACCTTACATCTGAGAACTTTCCCCACACTGTGTTCAGCTCACAGCAACTTGCCATACAGATTTTCACATGAATTGGCTCCAATGTCAGCACCTCTCCAGCTTCCAAAGCATTACGGTCCACATTACGGTCCCACATCATCATCCTGGTGTGGTTGATGGGCACATTTACTAGTACCAGCCACCTCATACGAGCCAAACAGTATCTGAAACTGAGAAAAAGCTCCAAGGTGGGAGCATCACCATCCTCCCCAAGCCAATAGCTCAGAGATCCCAGAGTGCTACCCCGCTCAGAAAATGCAAAGAGAGGGATCCTCTCATCCAAGTTGTTAGTATTGTCTATACCATAGGCTTGCATCATTGTCTTAAGGGTTTGATGTAATTTCTCTGTTTCCCCTGAGACTGAGGGTGATAGGCAGTTGAAAACTTAGGCTCTACTTTTAATCCCTTTAAAACATTTCTAAATAACTTTGAGGTAAAGCTAGCCCCTTGGTCTGTTTCTACTTCTTGAGGAAAACCAGTATGGAAAAAGAACTTCATCAGAGTCCTTAAGACTACACAGCTGTTATCTTATGTAGAGGGACTGCTTCCAGGTACCTGGTAGTGGAGCAAATAATTTTGAGTAAATAATTATTTCCCATTCTTGTCCTTGGGATTGAACCAACTACATCCACTACAAGCTTGCTGAAGGGTTCATGTGGTGCTGAAATAGGCTGAAAGGGGAAAGGTTTAATACTTTGACTAGGTTTCCCTATAAATTGCCATAGGTTGCCATATAAGTGGGGCCCTGCTGTATAGTAAACTACTGTATAAACATTTAAAATTATACTAAAAATTTTATAAATGGTGCAAGGGTGACATTAAAGCAATATCAAAGATGGTTGACTTAAACCCGCTACCATTATAGTATGCTCCTTGTCTAGCGACAAATTCGCATACCGATGTGGTATTAAGAACGGAATTCCATCATTAAGTGAGGAGAGGCTGTAATAATAATACTAATACAGTGGACCCTCGAGTTTCAGCAGCCTCGACTTTTGTGAAATTCGACCTTCAGCGAGTTTTTTTGGCAAAATTTGGCCTCGAGTTTCGTGATTAGACTCGTGTTTCGCGACCGTCCGGTACCTGTTCGCCCATCACCACTCACACCAAGCCAGTCTCACATGCCATTCACGCTCAGTGTGCCATTGTTTACCAACACGTGACCATCACCCCGCGGGTTCATACAATACATTTCATAATAATCCATTGTTTTTTTGTGCTTGCAACTGCTAAATAAGTCATCATGGACCCAAGGAAAGCTAGTGCAAGTCCTTTGGTAAATAAAGTGAGGAACACAATCCAGAGGGATTTTGAAGGGTTTGAGGCAGACCCTGTCCCTGCCGACCTTCTGCCTGTTGTGGAAGGTGTTGTGGCATTGGGCAAGTCCATGGGGTTGGAGGTGAGTGATGGGGATATGGAAGAGTTGGTGGGGGACCACAGGGAAGAGCTAACCACTGACGAACTGCAAGAGCTTCAACTGGAACAGCATCAGACCACAGCCGAGGAACTTGCTTCAGAGGAGGAGGAATGGGAGTGGATGAGGTGCCTTCTTCAAAGATTAAGGAGATTTGTGCCAAGTAGAATGAGTTGCAAAGTTTTGTTGAAAAGTATCACCCTGACCAAGCTGAAACAAGCCATATCTGCAACATGTACAATGACAGTGTTGTGTCCCACTTCAGGAAAATCTTAAAGAAACACCAGAAAAAGACCTCTCTGGACAGATATTTTGTGCGACAGGGGTCCAGTGACTCTCAAGTTGTTCCCAGTGGCATTAAAAGAAGAAGGGAAGTAACCCCAGATAAGGACTTGCTACCTAAAGTCCTAATGGAAGGAGATTCTCCTTCCAAACAATAGTGTACACCTTCCTCCTATCCCCTCCTCCCGTCTTCCATCCACCCAGAAGTCTTCAGTAAAGGTAAGTGTAATATTATTATTTTTTATATGCATGTACTTGATTTCTCATTGATTTCAGTATATAAATCTTTATTTAATTTGAAAAAAAAATATTTTATTTTAATATTTTTGGGTGTCTGGAACGGATTAATTTTATTTCCATTATTTCTTATGGGGAAAATGGTTTCGAGTTTCGTGAATTTCGACTTTTGGCAGGCTCTCTGGAACGGATTAATCACGAAACTCGGGGGGGTCCACTGTACTGTACTAATAATAATACTACTACTAATAATAATATACCATATGCATTATACTCTCCATGGGGAAGTGGAGAAGAATCCTTCCTCCAGAAGCCATGCCTGTTGTAAGAAGAGACTAAAATGCCTGGAGCAAGGGGCTAGCAACCCCTTATGTTTAAATTACTGGACATAAAAGAAAAACTTTTGTCTTTTCTTTTTCAAGTCACCCTGCCTTAGTGGGAGATGACCAGTATTTAAAAAATATATATATAGTATACTGTACTCATAAATTGTACAGTATACAATTTATTTTCTATGATATGCTCAGGAGGCAGCTGGAGGCAGTGTAGATGCCATGTCTAAGGGCAATGTGTATATCTGGAGTGTACCTGGAGAGGGTTTCAGGGGTCAACACCCCTGCAACCTGGTCTGTGACCAGGCCTCATGGTGCATCAGGGTCTGATCAACCAGGCTGTTACTGTTGGCCACATGTAACCCAACATACGAACCACAGCCCGACTGGTCAGGTACTGACTTTAGGTGCCTGTCCAGTACCTTCTTGAAGACAGCCAGGGGTCTATTGGTAATCCCCCTTATGTATACTGGGAGGCAGTTGAACAGTCTTAGGTTCCTGATACTTATTGTGGTGTCTCATATTGTGCTAGTGGCACCCCTGCTTTTCATTGCGGGGATTTTGCATCGTCTACCGAGTCTTTTGCTTTCATTGGGAGTGATTTTTGTGTGCAAGTTTGGTACTAATCCCTCTAGGTGTGGTGTAAATATTATGCAGAGAATTCGTAGTGTAGAAATTAGGTGTGGAGTTACTAAAAGTATTAGTCAGAGGGCTGAAGAGGGGTTCTTGAGGTGGTTTGGTCATTTAGAGTGAATGGAACAAAGTAGAATGATGATAAATTAGACACGTGCAACACTTGGGTATCTTTATTGAGGAAACGTTTCACCACACAGTGGCTTCATCAGTCCATACAAAGAAAAAACGTGAAGAACAGGAGGAGAATGAGGTAATCAGTCCCTCAACCTTGAGTCGATGTGGTCAGTCTATCAATCTTGAATAGAATACAGCATATGAGTGGAGAAGTGGCTTATATACCATAGGCAGGAGAGGTGCAGCAGTCGTAGGTGGTGTCACATTTGTCCAGTGGAAGTAGGTCGTGCCCAAGGGTTAGGCAAGCGAAGAATTCCCAAGTATTAAGATCCCAAGAAGTTGCAGTGTCTGACAGGATTGTAGATGAATGGTTCAGATAACTGACATGTTGATAAATTAATTACATGCAACTCTTGGGTATCTTTATTGAGGAAATGTTTCGCCACACAGTGGCTTCATCAGTCCATACAAAGGAGAAACGTGAAGAACAGGAGGAGAATGAGGTAATCAGTCCCTCAACCTTAAGTCGTTGTGGTCAGTCCATCAATCTTGAATAGAATACAGCATATGAGCGGAGAAGTGGCTTATATACCATAGGCAAGACAGGTGCAGCAGTCGTAGGTGGTGTCATATTTGTCCAATGTGGAAGTAGGATGTGCCCAAGGGCCTAATTTATCAACATGTCGGTTCTCTGGACCATTCATTTACAATCCTGTCAGACACTGCAACTTCTTGGGATCTTAATACTAGGGCATTCTTCGCTTGCCTAACCCTTGGGCACGACCTACTTCCACATTGGACAAATGTGACACCACCTACAACTGCTGCACCTCTCCTGCCTACAGTATATAAGCCACTTCTCCGCTCATATGCTGTATTCTCTTCAAGATTGATGGACTGACCACATTGACTCAAGGTTGAGGGACTGATTACCTCATTCTCCTCCTGTTCTTCACGTTTCTCCTTTGTATGGACTGATGAAGCCACTGTGTGACAAAATGTTTCCTCAATAAAGATACCCAAGAGTTGCACATGTGTCTAATTTATCAACATGTCGGTTCTCTGAATCATTCATCTACAATCCTGTCAGACACTGCAACTTCTTGGGATCTTAATACTTGGGAATTCTTCGCTTGCCTAACCCTTGGGCACGACCTACTTCCACATTGAACAAATGTGACACTACCTACGACTGCTGCACCTCTCCTGCCTATGGTATATAAGCCACTTCTCTGCTCATATGCTGTATTCTATTCAAGATTGATGGACTGACCACATCGACTCAAGGTTGAGGGACTGATTACCTCATTCTCCTCCTGTTCTTCATGTTGCTCCTTTGTATGGACTGATGAAGCCACTGTGTGGTGAAACATTTCCTCAATAAAGATACCCAAGAGTTGCATGTGTGTCTAATTTATCAGCATGTCGGTTCTCTGAACCATTCATCTACAAAGTAGAATGACTTGGAGATCATATAAATCTATCGGGGAAGGAAGGCAGGGTAGGGGTCATTCCTGAAAAGGTTGGAGGGAAGGGGTTAAGGAAGTTTTGTGGGTGAGGGGCTTGGACTTCCAGCAAGCGTGTGTGAGCCTGTTAGATAGGAGTGAATGGAGATGAATGGTTTTTGGGACTTGATGATCTGTTGGAGTATGAGCAGGGTAATATTTTGTTATGAGATTAAGGGAAACTGGTTAGCCGGACTTGATTCCTAGAGATGGGAAGTACATTCCCTGCACTTTAAAGGATGGGTTTGGGATATTGGCTGTTTGGAGTGACATCTGAATTCTTGTATCTGGGTGCCACTGCAAAGATGGTGAATGATGGTGAAAGTGTCTTTCTTTTTTTTGGGTCACCCTGCCTTGGTGGGAGATGGCTGAATTGTTGAAAAAAAAAAAAGTGTATGTGAAGGTAAACCCATGTAGTATTGTCAGTAATATTACAAAATATCTGTAGGGTGACTCAGTGGCAGAGCTGTTCTTGGATAAAAGTGATCATCAGTGCCAAAATCCAGAAGCATTTAAGGCAGAAATAACAGAACTTGTGCAAACAGCCAGAGAAAATACTATTTCTCTTGGACAGGTGCAGTATATATTAATGTTATAACTGTTTAAACATTAGTTCTTGTCTGCATAACCTCTGTACATGATAGTATAGCATATTAGTGGTGATGTCTTGAGTTTGTCATGGCCTCCCACTCGCCTAATGTTAACAGTATCTAGGTCATATTGTATAATGTTTAACCCTTAAACAATCAAAACATATATATATGTTCACTCGCGCAGCGCCCCAAATATTTTGAAAAAAAAAAAAATTATGGAAAAAAAGAACACATTTTTTGACGTGTTTTAGAATAAAAAAAAATTAGGGTCAGTACTTGCCGAGATATGAGGCCGAGAAGTTGGCACTGGATGCTCATGTGACAGCAACATCGAGTCCTGCCGCTTGCAGAAGTGTTGCCGATATACCTTTTTTTTCTATTTTTCATATTATTTTATATAATTTTTATGTCCTGATAATTACAATTTGTAGTAGTTCTTGTCATTTTATAACCAATCTTTGTTCTGACACTAGTATTAGGTACTGAAATTGTACTCAAATTGTCACAAACACACTGACAGGTGGACATTTACACCTACCTTGGCCATTTACTATTGTCTTGGAGCATATACAAAGTATTTATATGTCCCAGCAATGTTTTGGATATGTGGAAGTATATAATGACAATGAGGAGGAGGAGGAGGAGAAGGAGGAGGAGGAGGGGGAGAAGGAGGAAGAGGAGGAGGAGGAGGAGGAAGAGGAGGAGAAGGAGGAGGACGAGGAGGAAGAGGAGGAGAAGGAGGAGGACGAGGAGGAGAAGGAGGAGGGGGAGAAGAAGGAGGAGGAGGAGGAAGAAAAGGAGGAGGAGAAGGAGGAAGAGGAGAAGGAGGAGGAGGAGAAGGAGGAGGGGGAGAAGGAGGAGGAGGAGGAGGAGGAGAAGGAGAAGGAGGAGGGGGAGAAGGGAGGAGGAGGAGGAGAAGGAGAAGGAGGAGATGAAGAATAGGTAATACTAATAATAGGTTTGGTAATAAGTAATACATACTTTATGAAGAAGAGGATAAATAAATATACAAGGTATAATATAGCATGTAATGAAAGTAGTTTGTTAGATTATGTATTGGTGGATAAAAGGTTGATGGGTAGGCTCCAGGATGTACAAGTTTATAGAGGGGCAACTGATATATAGGATCATTATTTAGTTGTAGCTACAGCTAGAGTAAGAGGTAGATGGGAAAAGAGGAAAATGGCAACAACAAGCAAGAGGGAGGTGAAAGTGTATAAACTAAGGGAGGAGGAAGTTCGGGTGAGATTTAAGCAACTATTGGCAGAAAGGTGGGCTGGTGCAAGTATGAGTAGTGGGGGGTTGAAGAGGGTTGGAATAGTTTTAAAAATGCAGTATTAGAAAGTGGGGCAGAAGTTTGTGGTTATAGGAGAGTGGGTGCAGGAGGAATGAGGAGTGATTGGTGGAATGATGAAGTAAAGGGTGTGATAAAAGAGAAAAAGTTAGCTTATGAGAGGTTTTTACAAAGCAGAAGTGTTATAAGAAGAGCAGAGTATATGGAGAGTAAAAGAAAGGTGAAGAGAGTGGTGAGAGAGTGCAAAAGGGGAGCAGATGATAGAGTGGGAGAGGCACTGTCAAGAAATTTTAATGAAAATAAGAAAAAATTTTGGAGTTAAACAAGTTAAGAAAGCCTAGAGAACGAATGGATTTGTCAGTTAAAAACAGAGTAGGGGAGAAATGGGGAGATGGAGGTTTTGGGTAGATGGCGAGAATATTTTGAGGAACTTTTAAATGTCGACGAAGAAAGGGAGGCGGTAATTTCATGCACTGGCCAGGGAGGTATACCATCTTTTAGGAGTGAAGAAAAACAGGATGTGAGTGTGGGGGAGGTGCATGAGGCATTACGTAGAATGAAAGGGGGTAAAGCAGCTGGAACTGATGGGATCATGACAGAAATGTTAAAAGCAGGGGGGATATAGTGTTGGAGTGGTTGGTATTTTTGTTTAATAAATGTATGAAAGAGGGGAAGGTACCTAGGGATTGGCAGAGAGTATGTATAGTCCCTTTATATAAAGGGAAGGGGGACAAAAGAGATTGTAAAAATTATAGAGGAATAAGTTTACTGAGTATACCAGGAAAAAGTGTACGGTAAGGTTATTATTGAAAGAATTAGAGGTAAGACAGAATGTAGGAATGCGGATGAGCAAGGAGGTTTCAGAGTGAGTAGGGGATGTGTAGATCAAGTGTTTACATTGAGGCATATATGTGAGCAGTATTTAGATAAAGGTAGGAAAGTTTTTATTGCATTTATGGATTTAGAAAAGGCATATAATAGAGTGGATAGGGGAGCAATGTGGCAGATGTTGCAAGTATATATGGAATAGGTGGTAAGTTACTAAATGCTGTAAAGAGTTTTTATGAGGATAGTGAGGCTCAGGTTAGGGTGTGTAGAAGAGAGGGAGACTACTTCCCAGTAAAAGTAGGTCTTAGACAGGGATGTGTAATGTTACCATGGTTTTTTATTTTATTTTTTTTTTTATTATTATCACACTGGCCGATTCCCACCAAGGCAGGGTAGCCCGAAAAAGAAAAACTTTCACCATCATTCACTCCATCACTGTCTTGCCAGAAGGGTGCTTTACACTACAGTTTTTAAACTGCAACATTAACACCCCTCCTTCAGAGTGCAGGCACTGTACTTCCCATCTCCAGGACTCAAGTCCGGCCTGCCGGTTTCCCTGAATCCCTTCATAAATGTTACTTTGCTCACACTCCAACAGCACGTCAAGTATTAAAAACCATTTGTCTCCATTCACTCCTATCAAACACGCTCACGCATGCATGCTGGAAGTCCAAGCCCCTCGCACACAAAACCTCCTTTACCCCCTCCCTCCAACCCTTCCTAGGCCGACCCCTACCCCGCCTTCCTTCCACTACAGACTGATACACTCTTGAAGTCATTCTGTTTCGCTCCATTCTCTCTACATGTCCGAACCACCTCAACAACCCTTCCTCAGCCCTCTGGACAACAGTTTTGGTAATCCCGCACCTCCTCCTAACTTCCAAACTACGAATTCTCTGCATTATATTCACACCACACATTGCCCTCAGACATGACATCTCCACTGCCTCCAGCCTTCTCCTCGCTGCAACATTCATCACCCACGCTTCACACCCATATAAGAGCGTTGGTAAAACTATACTCTCATACATTCCCCTCTTTGCCTCCAAGGACAAAGTTCTTTGTCTCCACAGACTCCTAAGTGCACCACTCACTCTTTTTCCCTCATCAATTCTATGACTCACCTCATCTTTCATAGACCCATCCGCTGACACGTCCACTCCCAAATATCTGAATACGTTCACCTCCTCCATACTCTCTCCCTCCAATCTGATATTCAATCTTTCATCACCTAATCTTTTTGTTATCCTCATAACCTTACTCTTTCCTGTATTCACCTTTAATTTTCTTCTTTTGCACACCTAACCAAATTCATCCACCAATCTCTGCAGCTTCTCTTCAGAATCTCCCAAAAGCACAGTGTCATCAGCAAAGAGCAGCTGTGACAACTCCCACTTTGTGTGTGATTCTTTATCTTTTAACTCCACGCCTCTTGCCAAGACCCTCGCATTTACTTTCTCTTACAACCCCATCTATAAATATATTAAACAACCACGGTGACATCACACATCCTTGTCTAAGGCCTACTTTTACTGGAAAAAATTTCCCTCTTTCCTACATACTCTAACTTGAGCCCACTATCCTTGTAAAAACTCTTCACTGCTTTCAGTAACCTACCTCCTACACCATACACTTGCAACATCTGCCACATTGCCCCCCTATCCACCCTGTCATACGCCTTTTCCAAATCCATAAATGCCACAAAGACCTCTTTAGCCTTATCTAAATACTGTTCACTTATATGTTTCACTGTAAACACCTGGTCCACACACCCCCTACCTTTCCTAAAGCCTCCTTGTTCATCTGCTATCCTATTCTCCGTCTTACTCTTAATTCTTTCAATTATAACTCTACCATACACTTTACCAGGTACACTCAACAGACTTATCCCCCTATAATTTTTGCACTCTCTTTTATCCCCATGTTTAATATATTTATAGATGGGGTTGTAAAAGAAGTAAATGCTAGGGTATTCGGGAGAGGGGTGGGATTAAATTATGGGGAATCAAATACAAAATGGGAATTGACACAGTTGCTTTTTGCTGATGATACTGTGCTCATGGGAGTTCTAAAGAAAAATTGCAAAGGTTAGTGGATGAGTTTGGGAGTGTGTGTAAAGGTAGAAAGTTGAAAGTGAACGTAGAAAAGAGTAAGGTGATGAGGGTATCAAATGATTTAGATAAAGAAAAATTGGATATCAAATTGGGAAGGAGGAGTATGGAAGAAGTGAATGTTTTCAGATACAGTGGACCCTCGACCAATGATGGCATTGATTAACGATATATCCGACTAGCGATACATTTTAACGCAAAATTTTTGCCTCGACTAGCGCTAAAAAACTCGACCAACACTATTTGTTCCGTCTGAGACGCGTCCACTTCTGGCCAGTGTTTACAAGCCAGCCAGCCACCGCGGTCGCTTCCAAGCATACAATCGGAACATTTCATATTATCACAGCCTTTTTAGTGATTGCACCTGCAAAGTAAGTCACCATGGGCCCCAAGAAAGCTTCTAGTGCCAACCCTACAGCAAAAAGGGTGAGAATTACTATGGATATGAAGAAAGAGATCATTGCTAAGTATGAAAGTGGAGTGCGTGCCTCCGAGCTGGCCAGGTTGTACACAAAATCCCAATCAACCATCGCTACTATTGTGGCCAAGAAAACGGCAATCAAGGAAGCTGTTCTTGCCAAAGGTGCAACTATGTTTTCGAAACTGAGATCGCAAGTATACTCGAAGATGTTGAGAGATTGTTATTGGTGTGGATAAACGAAAAACAGATAGCAGGAGATAGCATCTCTCAGGCGATCATATGTGAAAAGGCTAGGAAGTTGCATGACAATTTAATTAAAAAAATGCCAGCAACTAGTGGTGATGTGAGTGAATTTAAGGCCAGCAAAGGTTGGTTTGAGAGATTTAAAGGGAAGGGAAGTAACCCTGGAAAAGGACTTGCCACCTCAAGTCCTAATGGAAGGGGATTCCCCTTCTAAACACTAAGACCATCAACACTCTCCCCTCCTCCCATCTCATCAATCATCACCAGATCTTCAATAAAGGTAAGTGTCATGTAACTGTGCATGTCTTCTTCAGTTTGTGTGTATTAAAATTAATATTTCATGTGGTAAAAACAATTTTTTTTTCATACTTTGGGGTGCCCTACACGGATTAATTTGATTTCCATTATTTCTTGTGGGGAAAATTAACTTGACTAACGATAATTTTGACTAATGATGAGCTCTCAGGAATGGATTAATAGCGTTAGTCGAGGGTCCATTGTACTTGGGAATTGACGTGTCGGCAGATGAATTTATGAAGAATGAGGTTAAACATAGAATTGATGAGGGAAAAAAGGCGAGTGGTGTGTTGAGGTATATGTGGAGTCAAAAAACGTTATCTATGGAGGCAAAGAAGGGAATGTAAGAAAGTATAGTAGTACCAACACTCTTATATGGGTGTGAAGCTTGGGTTGTGAATGCAGCAGCGAGGAGGCGGTTGGAGGCAGTGGAGATGTCTTGTCTAAGGGCAATGTGTGGTGTAAATATTATGCAGAAAATTCGGAGTGTGGAAATTAGGAGAAGGTGTGGAGTTAATAAAAGTATTAGTCAGAGGGCTGAAGAGGGGTTGTTGAGGTGGTTTGGTCATTTAGAGAGAATGGATCAAAGTAGAATGACATGGAGAGCGTATAAATCTGTAGGGGAAGGAAGGTGGGGTAGGGGTCATCCTCAAAAAGGTTGGAGGGAGGGGGTGAAGGAGGTTTTATGGGCAAGGGGCTTGGATTTCCAGCAAGCATGTGTGAGCATGTTAGATAGGAGTGAATGGAGACGAATGGTATTTGGGACCTGACGATCTGTTGAAGTGTGAGCAGGGTAATATTTAGTGAAGGGATTCAGGGAAATCGGTTACATTTTTATATAGCCGGACTTGAGCCCTGGAAATGGGAAGAACAATGCCTGCACTCTAAAGGAGGGGTTCGGGATATTAGCAGTTTGGAGGGATATGTTGTGTATCTTTATACGTATATGCTTCTAAACTGTTGTGTTCTGAGCACCTCTGCAAAAACAGTGATTATGTGTGAGTAAGGTGAAAGTGTTGAATGATGATGAGATGGGATGGGAGACAGGCCGAGTTGTTAAAAAAAAAAAAATAATAATAGGTAATAATAAGTTCCCTTGAAGCATGAAAAACAAAGTCCACCCCTGACAGTGACATGATAAGATGAGATAACAACTGATAAGAACTGACATTTGATGAGCATACACGAGAGTGCAGCGATAAGAAAAGATTAGAGGTGACATTTGATGAGCATCGCCCTCCCTTGTTTTCGCTGTCAATTTGTCTGTCTGTCGAGCTCTCTGTCTGTCTATCTGTCTAGCTCTCTGTCTCAGATAGAACCACAAGACTGCATCATCACCTATACTCATATCTTCAAGCAAAGTATAGCACTTTGTCTGGAGTTTTTGGGTTATCCTAAGTAATTTACACTATGTATACTTGTATTTATGTGTACCTGTAAGACAGAGATAGACAGACAGATAGAAAGAGAGACAGATTGAAAGAGATACAGAGAGAGATAGACAAAGACAGATAGACAGAGGTAGACAGAGACAGAAATAGACAGATAGATAGAGATATAGACAGAAATAGACAGATAGAGATCGACAGACCCTAAACTTGGGGTTAACATCGCTTTCCTCTTAATAGAGGAGTGTTAATATGACATTACATCAGTGAATCTTTGGTGTTTGCCGCACTGCTCTAGCTGGCGCTCAATTTAACTGGCGCTCCCACAAGGTACTAAGTGGTCCCAGATTTTTTTAATGCCACGCACACTGAGTGTTAGGAGCCATTCTATGCTGACAAGGCATCTCAGGCCAATCGTGCCAAATTTGAAGGCAGGAAAAATAAAATGTGTATATAAGTTTGGAGCGCTATGCGTAAGAACGTATATATATGTTTGGACCATTTAAGAGTTAATAATTAGTTCAGTATTGGTTCAGGAAGGCAACGTACAGTAAAGTATGAAACTCAAAGCTTAACATAGTACATGTAAATAAATCACAGAACAGTGAGGCTTGAACCCATGGTAAGCTTTGTACGAATAAGAAAATGGCTAACAATCAAGAAGTTGAATAGCCACTCAGGGATACCTAAATATTTCTTTTGCCATGTTATTAGAATTGTGGGAAAATATTAACCCATAAGAATTCATATCCTCGGGATTGGAGCTAATCAGATTTTGTCTGAGGAAGGAGGATAACTCAAATTACTTGGATCAAGAGACCACTAGCATCAAAGCACTGCTTGCCCCTTGAAGGGTGTCTTAACAGAATGTAGCTAGTAATACATTATTGTATCATTAATTGTTATGATCATTACCAAGAGAATCAGTTTTTAATTCTTAGCGCTTATTTTGCAGGTGGATGTGGGAAGCCTGCTACAGCAGGTCTTGAGCATTCTTTTGAGGCATCATGTGCGTTTGGAGTCAGCATTCAGTGCAGTTGTACTGGCAATATTTGTCTTGGAAGGCCTCGGAAGAACACTAGATCCAGACATGGATATATTAGAAAGAGCTAGACCAATATTAGTAAGAGGAGAAATTTTTTGAATGGCTTTCTATCCCTTATGAAAATTTGTTCTCCTTCAACACTTACAAATAAAACCTACCAGTAATTTAAATTTAACCCTTGCATTGTCTGTGCCATAGTACTATGGGCTTGAGGTCACTGTCAGTGCTGTAGTACTATGCCATGAGCTCAGCTCACACACATAAGCTGTAAGTGATAAATTTGGGCCTAGATATGAGAGAATGGGTCTATGCGGTAAGTGTACACCATATAAAAAAAGTTCTGCAGCACACAGTGCATAATGAGAAAAAACTGCGACAGTGTTTTTGGTTTAAAATGGCGAATTTGTGGTGTATTTTCACATGATTTTTATGGTTATATTCTCCGTTTCTTGGTCTCTCGTGATAGAATGGAAGATATATTACAGAAATAAAAATTATTTTGATTGGTTTCAGGACTGAATATAGCTTGGAATTAAGCACAAAGTAGTGGAAATGTTTGATTTTTGCCAATATTCAAGAGTAAACAAATCACGTCTCTTGTTCAATACACATCCAGCTGATCAGTCTAATGTGTGTTCATGAATGCGCTGATGTTATTTATACATTTATTACAATATTGTGTGTGAATATCAAAATGGAATTCATATATAAAGCCTTTGAAAGTAACTACTGAACAGAGGAAATGTTATTTTAGTGCCAGGAATGACTGTATTGTTTAGTCTGTACTCTATTTCAAAACTGATATATTTTGAAATTTGTGTGAAACTGGCCAAATTACCAATTTCTGATCACTTTATTGGGTATTTGAAATAGTTGATTGGGTGGTTTCTTGTGCTCAATTGATAAAATAGAAGACATTAGCACAATAGCCAAGAATTTGGTCTACTGGAACATTGTAATTGGCCTAAAATAGGACTCAAAGTGGGCAAAATCACCGATGCATAAATATCGCTGACACAGCAAAATTCGCAAAAGCGTAATTTCGTCAATTTTCCATTAAATTTCATACTTTTTATTTTATTACCCTCAGGAAAAGTGTCTTTACCATTTTGTGAGAAAAAATAAGTTTTTTTTTTTTAAATTGTTCACCGCTGTAGACAGGCTTCAGATTGGGAGTCTGGACAATGAACAAAAACAAAATGGACAAAAACAAAACAATCAAAAAATCAAAACCCCTACTCACACCAACTGAAACAGCAAACAGACTCAATGTTTTCTTCTCCACCATAGGAAAGAATCTAGCGAGCAAAATCCCAAGCTCAAACACCTGTCCATCAGACTACCTCACAGGCACCTACCTGAATACACAATTCCTAGCCCCAACCAACCCAACAGAAGTCTCGCTCATCAACACCCTTAAAAACAAGGCAGAAGACATACACAACTTGACACCTTTTATGTACAAGAAAGCTTCACAAGTACTTTCACCAATTATTGCAACACTCTTTAGCAAATCCTTCGAATCCTCCACCTTCCCAGCAATTCTCAAAATAGCAAGGGCCACCCCGATCCACAAAGGAGGTTATCAGACTTGAATAACTATAGACCAATATCTAACTTACCTCTGCTCTCTAAAATCTTTGAAAAATTAATTCATAGACAGGCTTTAGGAAAGGTAGGGGGTGTGTGGACCAGGTGTTTACAGTGAAACATATAAGTGAACAGTATTTAGATAAGGCTAAAGAGGTCTTTGTGGCATTTATGGATTTGGAAAAGGCGTATGACAGGGTGGATAGGGGGGCAATGTGGCAGATGTTGCAGGTGTATGGTGTAGGAGGTAGGTTACTGAAAGCAGTGAAGAGTTTTTATGAGGATAGTGAGGCTCAAGTTAGAGTATGTAGGAAAGAGGGAAATTATTTCCCAGTAAAAGTAGGCCTTAGACAAGGATGTGTGATGTCCACCGTGGTTGTTTAATATATTTATAGATGGGGTTGTAAGAGAAGTAAATGCGAGGGTCTTGGCAAGAGGCGTGGAGTTAAAAGATAAAGAATCACACATAAAGTGGGAGTTGTCACAGTTGCTCTTTGCTGATGACACTTTGCTCTTGGGAGATTCTGAAGAGAAGTTGCAGAGATTGGTGGATGAATTTGGTAGGGTGTGCAAAAGAAGAAAATTAAAAGTGAATACAGGAAAGAGTAAGGTTATGAGGATAACAAAAAGATTAGGTGATGAAAGATTGGATATCAGATTGAGGGAGAGAGTATGGAGGAGGTGAATGTATTCAGATATTTGGGAGTGGACGTGTCAGCGGATGGGTCTATGAAAGATGAGGTGAATCATAGAATTGATGAGGGGAAAAGGGTGAGTGGTGCACTTAGGAGTCTGTGGAGACAAAGAACTTTGTCCTTGGAGGCAAAGAGGGGAATGTACGAGAGTATAGTTTTACCAACGCTCTTATATGGGTGTGAAGCATGGGTGATGAATGTTGCAGCGAGGAGAAGGCTGGAGGCAGTGGAGATGTCATGTCTGAGGCAATGTGTGGTGTGAATATAATGCAGAGAATTCGTAGTTTGGAAGTTAGGAGGAGGTGCGGGATTACCAAAACTGTTGTCCAGAGGGCTGAGGAAGGGTTGTTAAGGTGGTTCGGACATGTAGAGAGAATGGGGCGAAACAGAGTGACTTCAAGAGTGTATCAGTCTGTAGTGGAAGGAAGCGGGGTAGGGTCGGCCTAGGAAAGGTTGGAGGGAGGGGGTAAAGGAGCTTTTGTGTGCGAGGGGCTTGGACTTCCAGCAGGCATGCGTGAGCGTGTTTGATAGGAGTGAATGGAGACAAATGGTTTTTAATACTTGACGTGCTGTTGGAGTGCGAGCAAAGTAACATTTATGAAGGGGTTCAGGGAAACCGGCAGGCCGGACTTGAGTCCTGGAGATGGGAAATACAGTGCCTGCACTCTGAAGGAGGGGTGTTAATGTTGCAGTTTAAAAACTGTAGTGTAAAGCACCCTTCTGACAAGACAGTGATGGAGTGAATGATGGTGAAAGTTTTTCTTTTTCGGGCCACCCTGCCTTGGTGGGAATCGGCCATGTGATAATAAAAAAAATGAAAAAATAGACAGATCTATTCCTACCTCGTCTCGCACAACATACTAAACCCCTGTCAGTTTGGATTCAGGAATAATAAAAGCACAAATGATGCTATTATACACATGCTAGAGCTAATATACACCGCTTTTGAGAAGAAAGAAGTCCTACCGGGAATCTTCACTGATTTACGTAAAGCTTTTGATACAGTCGACCATGATTTGCTGCACATTAAATTAACACACTGTGGTATAAGAGGGCACTCCCTCAGCTACCTAAAGTCATACCTTACTAACAGAAGCCAATATTTGTACACAAATGGAGCAAACTCTTCCACTCAACCAATCACAGTCAGTGTCCCACAAGGAAGTGTCCTTGGCCCACTCCTCTTTCTCATTTACATCAATGACCTACCGAATGCATCACAACTACTCAACTCATATTATTTACAGATGACACTACATACGTCTTCTCTCACCAAAACCCAGTCATACTGGCCAACACTGTTAATGCCGAATTGCAGAAAATATCTACCTGGATGATGACTAATAAGTTTACTCTCAATAGTGACAAAACCTATTTAATTCAGTTTGGAAACATACCTGCAAATGTTCCACTTAACATGATGCTAAATGGATCACCCATCACAAGACTCACAAATGGAAAATTCCTTGGAATCCATCTTGACAGTAGCTTCAAATTCCAGACACATACAACAAATTTCCAATAAAATCTCTAAGACAGTAGGCATAATATCAAAGATATGGTACTATGTTCCACAATCAGCTCTCCTTGGACTGTATCATTCGCTCATCTACCCTTACCTCTTCAAGGGGGGCTCCTTGGCGTGGTGAAGAGGCTCTTGGTCTGAGGAATTAGCCCTGTCGGTCTTCTTCCTCAGACCGAACCTAATTACCCCCCATTCTCCCCTCCCCTATCCCATCCTCCCCTTTTTTCCATTCCTCCTCCTCCTCCTCACCCCTCCCTTTTGCCCTTCCTCTTTTGGCCTTCGGGATTTCTCCCACAGGCGCGCTAGTTCCTAGGTAGGGGAAAGGACACCGGGGTCCATCCCATTCCGTTGAGGTTCTTGGCGGTGGCGTAGTTTGCCGTGGAATCTGGATTGCCTGGGGATGTCCCGATCCCTCTCCGGTATCCCGGAGTAGCTTGGGTGTCTTTTGGGCAACGGGTGTATCTCTGGAAGCCACCTTTCGGATTCCGGGGGTGGTGGCCGAAGGAGGTATGCTTTGTGGCGGATATCCGGCCGCCCTCTCTTTTGTCCACCGAGGTAGCTCGGCAGATGTGAGGTTGCTATCCCGGATTGCTGGTTTACTGGCATGAAGGGTAGGGTATGGCACGGGTTCCATGCTGCATCTGCGCTACTAGCGGTGTTGAGGTCCTCTTGGGCGCGGAGGAAGATTTCCGGCCCTTTCATTCCTCCTGGGAACTATTCCTCCCCGCTCCCCCCTTTTTTTATTCTTTTTTTATTTTTATTTTCTTTTCTTCTTTCTTTTTTTTTTCTTAAAAACAAAAAGCAAAGGAGTAACCTAACCATGGCAGCCCTAGTCCATGAAACCACTACCCCCGGGCCCCTTCTTGATACCGCACCCCATTCTGACCCTGCCTTGTGTTTAGGCCACTCTTCGGACACTCCTGATGCCCCTGTACCTCTTGCTGGTGCTGTTTCCTCACCCGCTTCAGGTACCGGGGCTTCGACTGACTCCTTCGATTTGTCTGAACTCCGCTCTCCTTTGACTATGCTTCCGGCTTCTCCCTCTACGGTACGGCAATTTCGAATCGCCCCCCCATTTCATCCCCGGACCAACTCCGGTCCTACTCCAAAAGGGCCAACGTCAATCCCTGATGATGCTCCGCCCGTTCCCTTTTCCCTTCAAACTCGGAAAAGCCCCGACACTTCCAAGCACTCCCTCTCCACGCTCATTTTTCGGACCCCCAAAGGGACTAAATTTTTTACTTTAAGACCAATTTTTCCCCTTTTTGGTTTTCCCCAAACCTCCGGGCCATGTTGGGCCCAAAACGGGGGGGGGGGGGGGGGTTTTTTTCACGCCCCTCAAAGGGGTACGCGCATCGTCACTGTCCAAAATTGCACCCAACTCATGATCTTTCTCTCCTTCAATATCATACTACCCCCTATCACAAATTAAAAAACTCTTTCTCTTTTTTTCTTTAGTGGTCCTGTCATTCGCCCCAAACCATAGTCCAACAGAATTTCCATCATGGGGAAAATGCCCTTTTTGAACACGGGAAACCCCTCCAAAAAAATCTCCCAATCCCCCAAAGAAAAAAACTTATGCCCTTTACCTCCCCGGGGCCCGGAGAGGGAAAAACCCTTGAAAAGGGGCTCATTTAATTTTTAAACGGGCGGAACCCCCGTCCTCTGTATATGTCCGGGACATCGGTTTACTTTTTTCGAAAGTAATCCCCAACCCCGGGCAACAATGTAAAAAATTGCTGGCTTTTTTTGGTCACCCAGCAAAATATTGCAGATCTATGGCCGAATGCCCAGCTGTGGGCCGACACCATTCTAAAAACACCCTTGCAGTAAACCCTCCACTTGCCTTAATTGTAATGAAGCCACCTTCGAACTCCTGCCGTTGCCAGGTCTACTTAAATAAAACTGAAATCCGTTGCCTCAAAGAGGCAAAAGGTCCCCCTTATGCATGGCATTTACTCATCTCCGCCCCCAAAGGGGAGACTACCCCGTGTTTTTTTCCCTCGTTTTTCCCCCAAACTTCCCCCACTTCTGGGGCCCCATCTTCCAGCCCCCTCTGTTTTTTCCCCCTTTTCCCATAGCCACTACGGAAATTAATCCTTTTGCTGTTTTTTGGGCTCTGACGTCCCAACTACAACTCATCTTTTCCACATTTTCGCGCCTTTCCCTCACAAGCCCCAGTACCCGACAAGACCTCGTACGACACCTAATCCCAAATCGCCCCCTACTCAGAAGCCCAAAAAAATTTCCCCCATTGCTAAAATCTTTTTTCCCCCTTCCTTCCCTTCTTCCCCCTCCACACTTTACCTTTCCAGTCCCGTACCTATTCTTCCCCCTCCGGGCTCTTACACGTGTGGAGATTCCCCCTCCTCCACGAACTATGCCTTCCACCCCCGTCCCCCCCAATTTTTCTCCCCCTTCAGTCACCCCCCAGGTTTCTCCCTCTTCTGCCCCCCCCAACACTTCATCTCCGCCCTTACACTTTTCCCTCCCCCTCTATTTTGGTACAGTCCATTACTGTCCCAACTTTACTCACCCTCCTCCTCCTTTCCAAATGGTCCCCCCATACATCTTTGAATTCAAAAACCCTTAACCCATTTCAGAATAAAATTGCAGAATTTAAACCCCTTCAATGGACACTGTTTCCCATTTTCCTGTTCCTCTCTTCCCTCTCCCCAATCTTTCCAAAACCCCATTTTTTCACAACGCTCCGTTCCTTCGCTATTTGGGAACTTTTCCCAAAAGCCCCACACATTGACTTTTCTAACCCCCTCTAGCCCCCGTATGCCTTTCCTAAGTTCCTGTTTTTTTTTCTTCATCCCAATCATGGCCTTTTTACAGTGGAATATCCGGGGCCTCGGGGGAAATGGGGGGAATTTCCCAGATGTTCCCTTCCAGGTTTCCCCGTTGGTGCTTGCTTACAAGAACCAAAATTACACTGGGTTTTTTTCCCAAACCTACTCAGGCTATAATTTATTGTATTCTTCGGATCCTTTCTCAGAGGGGCCCTTTAATAAAATGCCCTTCTTCTACGAAATTTGAAAATTCCATACCATCAACTTTTTGCCCCTACCCCCGCGCATTACACTCCCAGCCCGTTTTCCACTTGAATAAGGGG